ATATATATTATATATATATATATATATATATATATATATATATATATATGTGAAACTAATAATGTATTAATTAATAATGGCTATCGTTTCTTATCAGGTCACTTAACAATATTTTATTAGAAATAGATAGACAAAATTTGAATGGAATATAAGTTATATTTACTTTGAAGCCGAGTTCTCCAGGATTTTCTGCTTCGAAATCGTACAAAGCTGTGCAACATGGTTGTCTTGTCATCGGAGTCCTGGCTGGCGATTTGCTTGGAGATGGTAAGGGAGAAGCTGTAAAATATTAGAATTGCAATTATCTTACAATTATAATAAAGATACAACAGATGAAACAAAACAAAATGAGGCTTGCTGCAATAGCTTAAATTAAAACACTACGTGTTTAAACATCTGCTCGATGATTCTGAATCTTATCTTCAACGAAATGAGATGTGTGATGCAAAATTAAATGTAATATTTGACGCTTAAATTAAACAGCTGCTGCTCACTAAAATCTAAATAAAATTACAATGTTACAATTATAGCGAATCACATTAATATTTGAATATATACATAACGTATATCCGAATAAATTAATAAATATCATGTATTATTAAAAAATAATGTAAAATAATAACACGATTGTGATATTCAAATTTTATCGTGAATCACCAATCGCTAATTATCAATATTTTTGTATAAAATATATAAGATAGCACACAGAAAGAAAGAAAGTACGATCAAAGCATGCGAACAGATGATCGTTTTAAAATAGCTAAATTAGAATACATCAATAATATACAAAAGGCAAAACAGTAATTACTTTCTTGCCCTGTTTGCGGTGCACGAAAAGCGATAGAATCGAAATTGAATAATTAATTTATCGATCGAATCCTACGGTAGGAAAAACCAACCCCATGCAAAATTTACCATTGGCAGATTGTGGCGGGTTTCCGGCTGGAAATAGCTCGAGCTGCGAGCGCTTCCCCTCCACATGAATTGGAGACCCGGCTCGACTTGCCCCTACATCGTGTCAGAAGGACAGACATTCAAGTATACGAAAGTATACACACACAACAATCGAGTAACGTGTATGAAAGTGTTAGAGATGAACTTAATAAAACGGTTCGTAAATCAACATGTACACAATTCACAAGTGTACATATACAATTATTTCTAAAATTATTGAAGATACAAAAAAGTTATTCGTTGTAAAAGTTATTTAAGAGAAATAAAATATATTTAAAGAGTTGAGTAGATAATATGCATAGAGATTTTATTTTAAATTGAATAACTTTTTTATATTTCAAACAGTTCAAAACAAAAAAAAAAAATAAAAAAAAGATTAAAACTATTATTAAACATCAAACTTAATATGAGATTAGAGACATTGTTATTTTATATTTATAAGATTACTAACGTGTATAATTTGATCAACTTTCATAATTAAAATATGAAGTTAAAATATGATTTTATCAACTTTTATACTTATACTGTCATTTTCATTATATGAAACATTGTTCCTAATTATATTAATGTATGTGTATATATCTTTTTATGTGCACAAGATTAAATAAAGTTAATAATGTCCATCTGACAACTAGAAAAGTGGCAGGGGAAGTTCAATCAAGGAAAGAGTACGACAACGTATACGGCAATAGTGTATAGTTGCAGAACACGTAGAGAGATGTTGCATGACAGAGGGAACAAGAAACAGACAGCCAATCCACCCGCAAGTATCATTATTTTGTATATGTATGTGTGAAATGTGTTTTACCATGGAGGGAGAAGTTCCCACCGTTCATAGCATCCGATGTAGGTAATCCATCGACGTGCAAATCAGCCAATGTTTTCGGTACGAATTCCAGTTTTGGTTTATTCGCCGCTTCGTCTTTTCTATAATTAAAAATAAAATAATTAGAATTATTATGAATAATAAATGAAAAATAATTTCTTAATCTAAAAATTGAAAAAAAAGAATTCATATAACATCTATATCTAATTTAGATTACATAAATTTAACAATTTATTAGTTAATTGACACATACTTCTCTAAAAGTGTCTCTGTTAATGTTCTCAAAATCTCAGTACACTGTTGATGATACTCCAGAAGAGCTTCACTGAATGTTGCCAACTGTGCCACTTGTTCTACCTAAAAATAAAATAATTCAAGTTTATATCCATCTCGTTTCAATGAAAGATAATATGTTGTCAATTTATTTTTCACTTACGTCATTTTCCAAAAGATTGAACATGCCCAATTGTGCTAGGTGGAGACTCTCAGCGAATTTTTCCTCGGCTTGACGAATCTCGTCGTCTGAAACGTGAGAACCTGCTCGCAAAATTTGCGCCGGTGAAAATATTAAAAATTGCACTACTGGGTTGCTTCAATGCCTAAATTCGATACATAATAAAAAAAAATAGCACAAACAAGAAGGAATAAATACTAGCAAAATTAAACCGTGTGAACTTAAATTTCAGTCGTACAAGTTCCTTCCTTCTCTAAACGCAAGCATGTACAAATATTAAATTTTCATATAAACTATATAGAATACAATGCATTCAACATTCGCAATACTTTTGATGCATTTATGAACATAATTACTTCTTACATACTACGTTTAATATACTTATTATTAGTATTTTCTAAATTCTAATATAATGTAATTGTATATTACTATGATGTAAAACTACACGTATCTATTTAAAAAAAATATATATGTAAACATCAAAATCTAAAAAAAAGAAAAAATAATTTATTCTAAAAAAAAAATCATAACTACCATAATTATCATTTACTATTAATGAAAATTTAAAATATATATTTTTTAAAAATCTAAAAGGAAATTGAAATGTTGATGAATTTAATTATAACTATTACTATATAAAGCAACTAAACGGAATGTTTATTAATTATTGTACGTGAAAAAATCACGCACCAGTATATGGTGATGAACTTTTCGCTGGACTTCCAAAATGAGGACTGCTAGATCTTTTTCCGGCTAATGATTAATAAGAATATGCAGATAAATGAACGAAAAATTAAATGTTTTTCTTGGCTTTACAAAACAAAAAATAAAAATATTGATAATCAATATTTTAGACAACATTAAAATCATCTGCAATGAATAAAATTATAATCTGAATATAATGTCGAGAAATACTTTATCTGTTCCATATGAATTTATACGTAACAAAAACATTGTTCAAAATCCAATTATTTAATTTAAAAGAAAAATTGAAAAGATTAAAGATTAAGTTCAATATTCTTCAAATTGTACCCAATATGATAAAATTTCTAACCTATAATCTGACAAGATATATATCCCGTATGATAAAATGAAAAATCATCGTTACGATGATATCCATTAGTTATACGTAATCAATAATATAATTAATCTATGACAACGTGCACATGCAGCAGAACATGCGAATGGAATGCCTGTAAAATAAAAGAGACCCGTAAATAGAGAATCACAAAGAAAGGAAGAACGCGTGTAATATCATTGGATGGAACCAACATTTCTTTCTTTTTACGCGATACCTTTCTCTAATTTGACGATTTATCTTCGTAATACGGAAAGTCACGAATATATATATATATATACGTATAATTGCAAACGGGCACGCGTCGAGTTTTCGTGTTCGTTGCAAGGACGCGACGTATACGGCCCCAACGTGTTGTGCTTAAATAAATCAATAAACGTCGCGGAGAGATAAAGTCAACTCGCGGCCAAGTATACCTTTCGCTTGACGTCTTCTCTTGCAATCGAAGTCCAGCCTTCGTCCCTGAAGTTTTTTCCGGTGATGCTGAAAACAAAAGGTTATATATCAGTTCCATTCACGAATATTCTCTCCCCTTCCTTCCTTCTGGTCTCGTCGTATTCTTGCCGCGTTAAACTGGGACAGCGCTACTCGACGGAGCAAAAGAAGAAAAGGAACTTTTTCAATAACCACCACCACCAGCCTACCATCACTTCTTTCAGGTCTTTAGTCTGCAAATGGTGCAGCGGCTCCAGGAAGTTTTGTTTAATGTTGTCGTCCAACGAATATTTCACGTCCGCCATCTGCTTCATCGCCTCGCCCATTTCAATGAGAGCTTGAGCTGTAAACAGGAATTAGAAAAGATAAATGAGCCGAATCTTTGTTGGCATTTAGATACATACTTATGCGTCTACTTTGCCGGTTGCTTTGCAAGATGCTTAGGAAAAGTTGCAAGTTGTAACGGTCAACGTAAATCTTCTAAAGTTAGAGCAAAAGTAAAGAGATTGGTATTACTGATAACCTTCGAAAACTTTCGAATTATTTATTTATATCGAATTACTTGTGTGATTCTTCAAAGAATATTTTTTTTATATCTGAGAATTGTTCGAAATAATTCGACGTTGCTTTATTTTTAAAAAAAAAAATTGCTCGAAGCATTTGAATGTAAAGTACGTAAATTTTAAACGTACCGAAAATACTATCCTCCCCTAGTTTCTTTCCATAAGTAAGCATACAATCGCCGAGAACACCTTCTGGCTGGGGATAAGTCGAGGCTTTCGCCTGACCGCTGAGCTTGCTGATGCCCTTGACCGCGGCCATCTTCGCTCTTGCTGTAGGATTTGGCTGAAGGAACTCTTTCGTTTTCATTTGTAACTCCTCCACCAGCTCGTACGTGACGTCTGTTTTCTACGATCAAAGTTTTATCATCCTGTACATTAGCTAGCCTCATCCGACAATACAATTTTTATTTTTATTCCTTTCCAGCTTCCTCGCCCATAGTTTCGGGTAATAAGGGATTCAAGCAGGAAGAAAATTTCATGAAACGATCAGAAAATCGATTCAAGGTTAAATGAATGAAACAGGAACACTTCGTGGAAACCTTAAAAGTGTAGAAACACATACTCACCCTCTCCATATCCATAAAGTCGACGTCGAGCTTGGTTCCTTCCGCTCCGCCCATCTTCTCAGTCATATACTGAAAAATAAAAGTTGATCAAATGATAATATCCACATAGAGAAATAGATGGTAGCGAAATTTTAGAAAAAAAGTATTTTTCGTATTCCACATTTTCTCTGCCTTTCGCCTTTCGGGTCAAAGTCGTTTCGAGGGATTAAAAATTAAATATACCGTGTTATATAGCGTTACACAAATTGATACACAACAAGAGTGTTCCATTCGAAACTTTCAACGTATAATTATCTTCTAAATTACTCGTTACTTCGAAAGATGAAATAAAGTAGAATTTATTTTGCATAAATTGCATAAATTGGAAACTGTAAGTTACGTAGATCAACACGATTCCTGAATGATAATAAATTTCTGAAATTATAACGATGATATTTTAAATATCCATTCAATTCGATCAACTATTCTTCGCGTATATTATAATTTTCTCCTTCGAATTAATATCGTCAATATTTTTCTTTCCCTTCAATTCACCCATTCATTCATTTCAGAATGAACAATCTCTTTTTTTTTTTTTTTTATTACGATTTTCCAATTTGTGAAACCACTCTTCTTTGTGCGAATTTTATCAGCTCCAATTTAAAAAAAAAAAAATAATAAATCCCACTTAACGAGGCATTAAGAAAAATATCCGCTCTATAGTTAGATATCATCGATAACCGGAAATTGTCCCAGAGTTGCATCTCTATAAAGAGAGGAGATATCATAAAAATCTCAAAGGTACATATAGATATATACGGATGGTAGTCGATTGGTCGATGTCAGTTAATTGCTCGTAAAGCGAGATCATCTTGAAAGACGAAACGAGATTTCCTACGGTCGAGAAATATCCGTGAGGGTCAGAGTTGAGGGCAAAGGATACGGACGAGATGTTTGAAAAGGGGAGAAAATGCCAGTGGCAGAAAGGATGCCCTCTCCTCCCTTCTCCGGATCGATAATATTCCCAGTGAATTTCGATGTAAAGTAATGCTCCTCTGAAATTTTGCCAATAAATGTGAAAAGAAGCTGTGAATTATATACATTCAATGATACTTTTGATGATCCTGATCGCGATTGTTGATGCACGAGAATTTTAAGAATAGATGGAGATAGATTACCTAAAAAAAAAAAAAAAAAAAAAAATCGTATAAAAAATTAAATACGAATAAGAGAATAGAATAGAAGATTGGAGAAATAAACAGGGAATGGAGATACGCGGTTGATAAATTTAATTTTGCAAATCCAGTGAAAATAAAATTATCGTGTGAAATCGCCAAAGAGCGGAGAGAATATAACGCGAGAATTCTTCCTAGATGTACTTTATATTACGTAACTTGAAATAAAGAATTGTATAAAAACAACAAAAATCCAGTTAAACATAATTTCATTCTTTTAATTAAATTAAAATAAAAATAAAGTACACATAATAGAAATGGATATTTTTATAATTTTCCGATATCATGAATTTTATATTTTTATTTATTCTTTCTTGCGACATCTACGCGTAACTGGAGTATAAATTTCACAATGTTAACGGCAGTTAGTTAGAAAAAAAAAAAAAAACGTAATCGAATCTCATCTCTTTATTTAAAGGAGCGTTAAAATTTTGATTCTCTTAATAAAATCGTTTTGTCACGTTTCTCGGTGTTCGTCATTTTTACGAATAAGAGAAATACGACGAATCTCAGAGATTCTTTTCATTGCGAGAAACACGCGAACAATTTCAATGAAAACGTTATCCGACGTATGAATGAGAATTGCAAGCATTATACCACGCAATTATTACGAAGCGCAATATCGTAGACATCTCCTCCCGAAGAGGATGAATCATCCACAATAACAATATAACGCGAAACGAAAGCAATTCATTTACATAATAATAACAAATTCCGTATCGTGAATCATCTACTGATCCTTCTCTCTTTTCATATTTGTTTATACCCGTTCGACTCAATTGTCGTTATTTTCATTTACTTCCATAGACAATGGATTAGTATTATGGATCTTTTAAATAATTGCGTACATAATTACTTCCGTTCTTCTGTCGCGAACCCTTAAAAGAAATCCTAAGAAAAGATTTCTTCATAAAAATATATAATGCAAAAACGGGGGTCCTCGTCGGAGGTGTTCAATTTCATCGAACACGTTCCAAAATTAAGGTTAAAACTTAAAACTTAATATTCGTCGAATAATTTAACATTAAAGAAAAAAAAAAAGAAAAAAGAAATTGTCATCGTCGGAAGAATCCATATACATCTCACCATATATCTCTTCCTCTGAGAAGAAACTTTTTCCCTTCGTATCGTGGGGAAGAGACAATATCCAATATCCTTTAACGCGACTTTGTTAAAAAAGAACTTAGGTTTAAAAAAAAAAAAAAAGGAAAAAAAATTCACATCCAATTGCGGTATTATTCTGTAATAATCGCATCATCGATATCGAAGCACGGAGCAACGATATACCGTGATCCTTGAAAACTGCAAAAGCCAAGCAACACGATTATTTGATAAAGTTCCTGTTCGACCGTGACCTATATTTAACATTGACCCACTTGTAGAGCCGGTACCGCACGCAGGAACATAGGTAGCGTTGCCGATTACACGTCGTCCTAGAGTAAATCTGACCCACATCCGCTACTTGCAACGTCACGTGCCGTTTCATTCGAATTTATGCACCGATTGTAGGTAACGTTACGATGGACGAAGCGCGGATGAAATGGCTCGTCAAACCCATTGTGCCATTGCCGATAACCAATTATTATCGCGAAACAGGAGAGATCGAATAATCGAATAATTTTGTTCACGTGTTCGCGATACGCAGATCGAAACTTTAGAATCGTTGACATGATTACGTATAAATTAATAGTTAGAATTTAGAAATTAAGCGGAAATTAAATAGTAATTTGGATAAATATTTTAAACAATGGAATGATAATTTGATCAAGAATGATTTTCTAATTTGTAACAAGTTTATAACAATGATATTAGACAATGTAGTTGAGTATTGCATCTCAAAATAATTTCTGTGATACATCAAACGTAGGTAATTTTGAAAATTACGACAAGAAATTTTACAGAGGGAAAATCAGGATGATTAATTCGGGATGATAAATAGATATAAAATTATCGGAAATTATATAAGTCTATCCTGTAACTATGTATATAAGAGTAGAAATAATAGAAATGATTTCCTGGTTTGATGTTTTTGATAAGATAAAATTATATTTGCACTCGATTTTTGCTCTGTGTAATTTGAAAACAAGTTAGAATAACTCTACAAATTCTGCTTCAGTCATTAATCATTTGTATTCAAGCGATTAGATTAATATTATTCGACTTCAAAGTTTTCCATAAGTTATCAAAAATAAAATGGTAATTAGTAAAATAGTAATAGGATAAAAACATTCAAAATTACTGCTGTAAGTGAAAATTGAGTATATCACAAATAAATAATTTGTAAAATTATATAAAACTGTCCCCAAATTTCTTAGGAGATTTCTTAAAAGAAACTTACGGATAAGATGTTATTTTAGGTCAATTAGTAAATCAAATATACATTGATTTTAGTAAGTCAAGCCTTTGACTTAAAATAACATCTGTCAGAGAAGGGAGGAAGGGGGGGGGGGGGATTAACACTAAAATCGTGTATATTTTAACAATTTCTTCTATCTATTTTAACTTTTCAGAAACTATTTTAAGAATCCACCTCGGATTGAAACAAGTGTCAGCCGAAATAGGAATTAATTGTTCCACTCAAGGCACATTGAGGCGAACGAGACCTCTGTTCTCGGGTCAGAACACCGTAATAATGATTGGAACGCCAATCGATACGTAATCGGGAATTGTTTCTAATTAAATGTGATAGAGGAAGTTTTGGTAATAATTATGTTGGATAAGCAAGTATAATTATTTTTGAAATTGCTTTCAAATTACTTTCACAATTGATAAAATTATCTATGTAGTATGATACAGATTCTACTATTCCATCTAAAAATTGTATCGAAACAACAATGTAATATGAATAATAAATATATAATTGACATAAAAAATATTCTGTTGGAAATAATATTGAATATCTCATTTGAATATAAAATGATATTCATTTTGTATGAATAGCTAGATATGTACATATAAACGAAATATTTAACGAATTAAATTAATGATGTATACTTATAGTAAAAAAAAAAAAAATTAGTATAATAAATATAATAAGTATAATAAACCTGGATTCGAATGCAATATTCGAATGGAATAACAAAGAAATCGATATTCAAGATTAAATTAACTCAAATATATATTAATTTTAATCCTCGAATGAATATAAAATCAGCATAAGTAAAGAAACATTATAATTGCTCGAGAAAACTGAGAGAGAGAGAGAGAGAGAGAGAAGAACTTTATCGAGAAATGGACGAGCATAACTCGTTATCGATAATAAACCTGACAAATTAAGCTTTATCGAGAAAAGCAAATATTTCATTTCAGATCAATCTATTAGCTTTCAATCAAAAAGTTAAAAAAAACTTTTGTACTTTTGGAATAAGATTTTGAGAGTTATTAATTATTTTTAACCGATTGATAATAATATATGAAAATAACAAGGAAATAACATTGATATTTAAAATATATCTTAATCTTAACATTAATTCTTTTTCAAATTTTAAATATTTTCTAATCATCTCAATTTTGAATATATAACGTTACATAAAATAATATAAAGAAAAATAGATTTTTATCCAAGATTACTTTCTAATTTCAAATTTTATTAACGTATATGTACATATATAATATGTTAATATAAAATGAAAGGAAAAAAATTTCTTTTTTTTTTTCTTTTAATTAAAATACTTTCGTAAAATGTTTTATCACACAAATATTTCAACGTGAGCATAATATGAAAGCACAGCATTGTTTCACGATAAAACTCTGTGTAACAGTATCTAAAACTAATTATCGACAAGAACGGATAAACAGTTTAGGATACTGGTAAATTGATCATTAGAGGTACGATATGGATTGTTCTATAATGCTCGTTCATTGTGCTATTTATCATTCTATATTTGCGCCATTCTCAATGTATACATTGCTCGAATTCGAATTTTCTTTTTTTTTTTGAATCAAAAATAAATTGAGAAATGAATTTGATTTGCGCATTAATGTATTTTGTGAATTTATTAAATTGCTTCTAAAATAAATATATATAAATATTTAAACTTTGAAACGAAAAATAACACTGGAACCTACATTTGAAACCTCAATAGTGCATTTTAAAAATCTATCTCTGCACGTTGGTTACCGCATTACGATCAATTCGCACTTCGTTCAATAATTACGTAAGATGAAAGTTTGTTGCATTGTATAATCCTTATCACGAGCCATGCGTATATCTTTACTAAAATCCAACCAATCTATTACATCGTTCGATACTAAAATTCACGTTATTTGTAATTATAAATATAAATTATATAATTTCGTCAAATATTAAATTCAAATAATTAGAAAGTCAATAGAAAGTTAAGTAAAAATTTTAAATCATTTTTAATTGAAAAATTTCTCCAATATTGTTATATCACATTTTCTTCGATACCGTAATTAACTCGTACAGCGTACGAGTTAAATCAATCCAGCCATTATCAATTTCTTTCGTAATTTAACAAATTTTCAAAATTAAAACTGTGCCATTCCCATCGAATTTTAAATTTTAAACAATAAAATTTTACGCAATCATCGTATGTAGATCGATTAACACATTAAAATCAATCATCGAAAAAACTCATCGATAATTTTGCAAGAAAGAGAAAGTATTTCTTCAGTAGAATCTCTTCAAACTGTGCGCAAGATTCCTCGATTAACGATTTATCAAATTACGAAACCCAATTAAAATTTCGTCATAGAAATAGAGAAATATCCCATGCACGAGTATAATCCCCCTTAATAATTTATCTTAATGATATTAATGCAATCGGAAATTTTGCAATAAAAGAAGAAACGAAAAAGTATCTTCGATGCAAGTGTTCATTAATGATTTATCAAACGGTGGAATATCGGTTGAAATCGTTGCATGACCCAGTAAAAGTCGGCAAAATATTCACGATTACAAAGAGGAGAATCGTGATTCCCCCTGTGGCGAGGTGGAAGCTTAAAAATCTGGCCTCGAAAAACTCTGTGCTCGAAAATCTCGGTCAGTTAACCGTGCGTGGGTGTAACACGATTCTGCAGCCTGTAGCATATCGTAATTACATTATGAAAAAGAAACGTTGAATACCGGCCGAGTTTCGAGGATCTATCGGCAATCGCGGTCGCCGGCAGCGAATTACAACGCGATTCCTGATTATGATGGTGATGGTGGTGATGGTGGTGGTGGAAGTAGGAGATTTCCGCCAGAGGGTAGTCTTAAAACCGGGTCAAAAAGTTGGATCGCGATATTCAATCGTGGAAAAGGCAACGTGGATCGTGCCACATTCCTGACAGTTTCATCTTTTTCCACCACCACCACCACCACCACCCCCTCCCTCCCTCTCCTCCCCTCTTTTGCCCGAATAAACCGAGTCGACCGATACGAATCGTTTTCCTCCTCGATATAGAAAACTCCACTGTTCACCTGAATGGAACACCGGTGAACAACCAAAGAAACGCATTAAAACGAAAACTGCTAATTATACTGATATAACGGTACGATCCGCCTCGACTTTCATTCTCATAAACATGGATGCGAGCAATTGCGAATAAGTTGAAATAGAATTGTAGGAGTAAAATTTTGTGATCGTTGGATATTCTGGGGTCGTGAAAAATAAAAAAAATAAAAAACTGCGCTTATAATGACATATTGATAAACGATAAGAGAACGCCGATTACGAATGTTGATTATCGTACGATAATCCTATGATAAAATGGTAATGGATATATATATACATAAGTGACGTTTCGTTTATACGAGGGATAAAAACAAATAAACTCACCTGATTAGCTTTGTTAATCTGTTTCTTCAAACCCGCGAACGCCATGGTGACACTTCTGGCTTACCTCTTCTGGACAGAAACACGAAGAAGAGAGAATCTGGAAACAAGAGAAAAGAAGAAAAAAAAACTATAATCGATGCGTGTAATGAAACGATCGGGGCAAATTTTCGAAAAAACAAAGAAAGGGTTTGAATTTATGACTGGCCGGTTGGCTGCTCGCCAGATCCGGCCATCCACGGACGGATGATTTTCAATGTTATCGATCGACCACGTTTTCCAGCATCATGACTTACTTCTGATGTAATAATCGTCGACTCACGTACACACACACGGTCAACGTTTAATCCTTTCCGATATTTCAGTATCTACGCACGTATGTGACACATATACACACACGCATATATATATGTATATGATATATATGTATGACGAACAGAACCAACCCACTTGCGATAATTTTGCCAATTTCACAGATGAAAACGGCTGTACATATCGATGTACCGAGAAGAGTCCGGTTTACTCATAGAAAATTACATCATACATCTTTTCCTTTCTCGACTGACTACGCTCCCTTCTTATACGCACGTTACATTCTTACGTATATTCATTCCATCGCGGAACAAAGACGACTCGGCTCCAAAAATAGAGTGTCACGTTCATAAAGAGAAATTAACGAATGCCGTCCCTCTTAATAAGCCGCGCGGCTCCTTCGGGAAGAGAAGAGAGCGGTAAGAGAACAAGTGTCGTACGAATAAGGGCAAAGGTTGCACGGAGGGAAAGATGGTTCATCTGTGTACTTAATAACAGGCTAATAAAGACTGGTAATGGTGTAACGTCGATAAACAAAGAACGATACAACTGCTGCACACAATAATGTCGAAATTCTGTTCCAATTGATCTGGTGATACCAGCGCCGTTCCTATTTTCTCTTTTTCATCTTTCTTCGAGACAGTATTAGAAACGTAAAAAAAAAAAAAGAAAAAAGAACGTATCCACATATTATCAAGCAAAAACGTTAATTCCTTCTAGTTTGAAAAGTGAAAAGAAAATTCTGACGATCCGGTATCCGGTAAGATTCGTATTTTTTTTACAAATATCGCAATATTAAAAACAGTATAAACGTGTATCGAGTAGATGTACGCACATAAATTTGGCAATATAGATCAAACTATCGAGAGAAGAGGAATCGTTAATAGATACAGATGCAACGATAGGACAGATCTCTCACCTCTAGAGTTAGTGATCGAAACGGCACGTCCTTATAGCACCCTCGTTAAAATCCTGGCAATCGGTTGCCTCGTAGCGCACCAGTAATCCCACCGAATTGTGGGAATACCGAACGACAATCGCGGTCGTGCGAGGCACACGCAAGTGGGAAAAAGTCTAGGAGTTAGAGAGAGCGTAGAGATCCGCGTGGACCGCGAGCACCACGAGCACCACCGACTCGTACGTGGTCGGTTTTGCACACTGCGCCTCTTCCTCGAAGGGTAGTTTTCAGCCCGACCGATCGATACCCGGCATCCACTCCATCCTTATCCTCCCACCGTATTCCCTCTCGCTCGCTCCGACCAACATAGTAGAATATAGTATAGTCTTCCTCTCTCTCCATTTGCCTTTCTCCCTCTCGCTTCCTCGCCAACTTCCCCTACCTTCGTCGCGTCGCTCTCTCTCTCCTTTCCCTTCGATCATCTTTCTCTTTCGCGCTCCCATCCTTCCCTTCCCGAGTCTCTGTTCAACTTTTTGCCACTGAACGCTTCCATCGTTCATATCATATCCCCCTCCCTCCCTACCCCTGCTGCACTCTTTTCTCCTTCGCGATCCCTACCACCACTTTGCCCGTAAATGTCCCAAGCTCTCTTGTATTCACACTACACTTTCCCTTATTCCCTTTTCATTCCTTTCTTCACTCTGTTTTCTCTCACTCTGAATTTTCCTTGGTTCCCGGTCGGATTTCAAGTGTGTGCCGCGCACTTTTTTTACCTCCTCGCTTCCACTCCCTCCTTCCCTTGTTTCTTTCTCGTTTTCTTCCTTTCTTTTTCTGCCGCTACTGGATTTCCCTCGCCCACGCGCCGGCTAATCTCAACCCTCTCGCCAACTTGTCCACACGCGTTTTTTGTACGTTCGGGAGGACAACCAGAGAGTCAAGTAGCGGAAAGTATCGCCGAGGAGGAGACGATATTTCCACGGAGTTAATGCTTGGAATAACAGGGAGGGTTTTGGTTAAACTACGTTATGTTTAATGATGTTGAAAACTTCGACTATAGCGATGAAACAAATGATGAAATGTTCACGCGTCAATTATATTATCACAGTATTGGATATTAGAGAAATAAAAAGATAAAAAAATAAAAATTATTACTATGATCTTAAAATAACATCATACCATTCGAATATTATTCCATTTCAACAAAACTATTTCAATAATTATTTTCTCTATCCTTTGCTTAAAGATATATAGATATCCACCACTAACACGCGAAGTATGATTATTATATTAGATCTGGGAAAATATTGATTTAAATAACAGAATAGATGAATATTTGTTTTTTTTTTTTTCTGAAATTGATAGTATTAAGTTTTAGAAAAAAATAAGACGAAAGAAAAAGACAAACATTTAGAATATATAAATAGATTAGAAATTTCTCTTATTTGAGAAATTTTTACTTATATTTTAATATATAATAATTGCATTTGATATTGTATTATAATATTTATTATGATAATTCCCAGGAAATTATTTTTTTTATGAACATGTTACATTGTATGGTAAATGTATTATTATATTTTATTATTGAATGACAAAATAAAAATTAGTGATAAACAGTTAGTTGAAAAAAGAACGAAGATATTTAAAATATATTAAATTTCTTATAATAATTATTAAATCTCGAAGAACTCGATCAATAACAAGGAAGAAACAGCAAAACTTGGCAAAAAGTTGCGCACTATGCAGTTTTCGCTCGATAAAATTGTTCTAATTATATATAAATGATAATTTTTTTAACGAATATTTTTAAAATTTATTATTTATTGAATTTACTATAACTAATATAAATGCGAAAAAGTATAAAAATATTATTAAATTTTTCAATTGTAAGTAAAATTAAATAAGAAGTTTGCAAGGACAAAAGAGTTGATCTTCATTTTTTTGGACTCTTGCCATTCTCTTCAAATTCTATTTTTAACTTTAATTAATTCGCATCAGAATATATCTAGTAATAATTATATAAATAAATCATTTGTTTATATATTTTTTTCTTTATAAAATTATAAAATTACATTACATTATAAAATTTACAAAATTCAAAATGTTATAAATACATAAATGGTTTCTTAAAATAAAAAAAATTTTTTAAAATCCCACTATATTTATATCTCATAGCATATATCTTTTTAATTTATTTTAATTTTTTTAATTTTTCTATATTATAATAATGTATATCGTTGTTTCTTAACTAGAATCAACCTGAACAAAGATTCAAAGGATTTTGCATAAAAAGGTCACGGTATTAAATGTAACGAAAGGGGCACGAAAAAACGTATTTATTTGAAAACTCATTACCTCGGTTAGCAAAGAAAGGGCACGATACTCTATATAAATATTTTTATATATACAATTATATATGAACAATAAATGAATTAATTTTCTGATTGATTAAGAATAATAATTTTAAGATTCAAATATTGATAGAATGGACACGTCATGTTTTTTCTTATTTTTTATTTATGAGTAATAATTAAAATTTAAAACATTTTAAAATGTTTGGAACTTTTCCCATTTAAATATTATTTGTAATATTATTTATAAAAATTATTATTCCTTAAAAAATATAATCTTTATAAATTTCTAATTATTATTTACTATTATTAAATTTTAATATTGTTGCATTTTATATTGTTTGCAATTAAAATTTTATATATAAAATATTATTTTAATAATTACAAATCCAAAAAATTCACGATAATTTTTAATAAATTTTTATTAAAAAATAAATAAAGTTATCATATTAAAAAAATATTTGAAAACAAGTTAAATATAATATATATATCAAAATGATGAAGAAATCAATCACTATCGAAATGATATTATTGCGAAAAAATCAATCAAAAATAGAAAAATTCTAAAATTCTGTGAATTTTGTACATTTGTCAGTGAATAATTATCAGAGAATTATGATTAGGTCATGGTACTGCTATCATTCGATAACATTCTGTCGCTTTGTACGCCCCCCATAAGCTGAGTGTACATCCGCTATATAAACCACCCCCACACAGCTTCGTGAAAATACTTCTAAAAATATATAATAGTCCAGCAGGAGACAACATTAATCTACCAAGTTAAGCCAACTTTTACTTTCATTTTTCTTGCGTAATTTTTTGTTATGAACTTTTTCATTGTCAATTATAAAATAAATTGTAAAATAATTACGAAGCAAAGAAAGAAACAATGATAATGCAATAAAGTGTAAACAATTTTTAAAAACATTAATTCTCATTCTATATGTTATCAGCATTTTTATTATTAAATACATTAAATTGTTTAAGGAAAATTTAATTCATTCCTATCACAAATAAATAAATAAATAATGAGTTTTATTATAACTTTATTAATTTAATTTAATATGAAAATAATAAGTTACAAATAGATGATTGAAACAATCAATAATTGATGTTTAATTTTTTAGAATATAAATTTTAAAACGAAGAAATTATACAAATTAATTAATAATAAGTTATATAAATTAATTAAATTATTTTATTAAAGATTTATCTTATTTAATTAGAGTAAAAATTGATTGTCAGTAATATTGGCTTTACATACATAAGAAACTAACCTATCTATTGTGACTTATATTTCGCTATACTGTTTCATTTTTTATATTGCAATCTCATTGTTATTTTTTTATGTAAACAATATCATATTATAATAAATATACATACAAATTAAAAATAAATATCATGTTTTTATTAAATCACTTATAAATATCAATCACTTATTAGCAATCTATGCAAACAAAGATAAATCTATAGATACTATAACTTCATAAGAAACTATATCTACTTATAATTTTATAAAAAAATATAAATCTATAATTATAAAAATATAATATATAGATAATAAACATATCAATCATTTGCTATTTATTTCAATTGTGTTTTTTTTTCGACATAATAATTTAACATAAAATATATCACATTACTAATTACATTATTGCATTATTATATTAACCTTTTTATGTTTTTTATGCATTATATATATGTATATACATATAAATATATATACATATATTAATAAAAATAGATAAATTATATAAATAAAATTCATGAAAAAAAAAAATAAAATTAAGTATCTCAAAAATTAAAAAAAGAACACTTTTAATGTATATTAATATGCCTAAAATTAAGTGTTCGTATTAATGCATTGTTATTGTTATAATGCAAATTATTATGATTAAATATTATTAATATATATATATGTATATATGTGTGAATTATTATTAAATTATAAAAGTAAGTTTCAAAGTAACGAATAGTAATATTTGATAAAAATAAAGACTTCATTAATATATAATTAAAAAAAAACACTAATTTCTATTACAAGCTTCTTTAATATTAAGCATTTTAAATATGAATATTATTATATTTTACTGAAATTTAAAAATAACAATAATGATATCGCGCCACCAATCACAAAATGTTGCTGTTAGTAACCAGAAATGAATATGGCGTCAACTCAACGTTTGTTTTTACTTTATATTCATTTTGTAATTTGTAAGTACGTAATATATAATACCATGTTTTAATTACATATGCCTTTGTTTATTAAATGCACAAAAACAAATAAACTTAACAAATATGTCAAACAAGAATACTCAACCTATCTAATGTATATATTTGTGTATTAAATAAACGAATCTATTCAAACGTTTCTTTGTAAAAAGTACAAAAATTAATAATTCTAAAAAAAATAATAGGTATTACTTGTTTAAAAATACTCACTGTATATCAATTTAGTAAGAACAGGAAATTGTTTAAAACTGGAAATGGACAAACCCCCTGCTATGATTTGACACAGACGACAGCTGTTTGAAGTTTCCAGGAGTAACGCTAGATTGCTCTTCTAACAGTATATAAATCATAACTGTCAAAAAGCGGGAAAAATTATTATATATTTATTTTTACATGCAACACAAAATTTAATGATTTTTTTGAATTGTTTAAATTATAAATTTCAAATTTTTAGATTTTTATATTGAACGTGATTTTAATAAATTAAATATAATGAAATATAGATAATAACATTACATTATATACTTTATAAATAAGTAAATAACGAATAATTTTGAAATGACAGGTCTTTTATTATCAACATTATTAGTACAGTGAAACAGCTAATATAATACAATAAAATAGTGCCGTTTTACAATAGAGCGCCATAAAGCTTTTTTTACACGTAGTATCGCGTTTAATATAATATTATTTTCTTCTTTTTAATTAGACTTACTCCTCTTTCATAAAGATACATAAAGTTTAAGTTCTTTATCAATTTCTGGATGAAGGGTTAACATCAATTGATTAAACTGGTTATCTCCAATTAATCTGCGTAAAGTAAGTAACTGAAAAAAATATAAAAGGGAATTTTAATATATAATATAAATATAAATTTTCTATAATAAAAAAACCAACATTTTACCTGATTTTGTAATGTATCTTTCAAAGATATACTAGATAAAGGATCACTGAAGTCAAGTCTTCTTTTCCGCTGTTCATGTTTATTTCCATACTCTTCATCCTCGTATTGGGATGGACTAGATTGTCCACTAATTGACAAAGACCTAAATTAAGTGAAAATGCTAACTTTTATAAATACATTATTTTTTATTATAATTATTTATATTTTACAAAGAATACGTACTCAATAGCACATCCAATATGTTCACATCTTACATCATCAAACTTAGTAATATCATTAAGAGTTCCGACAATATTAGATATTATTAGTGGAAAATGTTGAAAAACACTAGGAGGGCTATTAGCTCCAAGAAGTGAACAAAGTGCAAGAGCTAATAATTTACGTCTTTCTAACTGAGAAATATATGGCATTCGATTAACCCATATATGTATTATTTCTCCCAATACAGCATCTTCTCTTGCTTCATTTCTACCCATTTTTCTGGTTAATTCGCTTATTACCTAAACAATTTAGATATTTATAATTATATCAATAAATATACAATGCATAAAATTTTAATACCTGTATAAAAATATCTTTATAAAACCATAAAACTCTTGCCACAATAGATAAATACATAGTCATTGTCATCATAACTTCTTCCTCTCTATACATATTCCTATTAAAATTAAAATAAACATTAACATGTATAATTTATTATAATATATATATAAACATTTATACTCACTCAAATATAGTTATTAAAACAGGTTTAATGAGTTCTGCACCTTGTCGAGGTGAAGCACATAAACATAGTTCAAACACTGTCATTGTCATGACTGCTCCTTCTGGATTCAAATCTCCTAAGATTGACCTAAGTGTTTCAATTATAACTGCTCCTCTTTGACTTAAAAATTCTTGAGGACTTAATATTACATATGCTTGAACTATGTACAAACATAATTTTAAATGTTCAAATGATTGTTCTGAAAATATAGAAATCTTCAAATTTTCAAATTTATGAAAATCATTAATAAATTCACTTAAAACTATTTACTAACCTAAAACAGCAGGTAAATTTTTAGCCAATTCCATTATAGCTGGTGTTGGCGCAGGTGCGTTTTCCAGTAAAGCTAACCATAATCGCAATCCATCTTCTAACAAATAAACATGACAATCTTGATTCACGTCGCAACTTAAAGCAATAACAGCTACTACCAAAGGTTCTATAACAATACTTTCAGGACCTAAAGCCTAATAAATAATCAAAGTATTATCCATTTTTTAAAATCTTAAACAAAATTATAATTAATATTTTAATAAAATTATAATATAATTATTTATTCTAATTATTTAATTATATATAATTAATTAATTTTATATATAAATAGTACAAGAGTATACCTTTTCTAGATGTACAAGTGTTGAAATTATAGCGCATCTTAACATATTATATTCTTCAGAATGTTGCCAAAGTGCTGGTAGATATGAACTAAGAGTTCCAACATGTGGATTTATTTCACTACCAGCACGTTCAATCATAAATGATAATACATATAACACATGCATCTAAAAATAATTTAAAATATATTTTTTTATAAATCAAAATTTTAAAAATTATATAATTATATACCTTAGTATCACATTCTTTTACTTCTTTTAAAAGAGATAACAATAAAGAAAATGCAGGTTCTAAATATGGTGAAAATTCTTCTGGATTAAATTGGAAATCGTCTATTGCGAGTTTTAAAGCATCACTTGCTGCCAAACGAACACCTAAATCTTCTTCAGGACTCAAAACTTCAACCATAAGTTCATATAATTCCGGTCTCAGTTCTGCACTTAATTTTACAGCTGCAATTTTATTAAAATACTTAAGTCAATTATAATAAGAATAAGAATTATTACATAATAAATTTCATTTATCTATTTTATCTATTTAAAAAATTGAAATTTAATTACTTGTCCATCGTCCAATAAGCCAACATACTCGTCTTCTAATAATTCTATAATTATTACTTCGAATTTTTAGTTCTTCTTTTAAAGTTGTCGAAAACCATTGGTCAAAATTTACCTAAAATATATAAATATAAAATATATAAGTATAAATGATAACTAATTAATAATTTAGTTATTTCATCATAATATTTCATTTTTACCTCATCATATAAATCAAATGCAGCCAAACCGACTGCATTATATACTGCATCTTTTACTAAAATAGCATGTAGATTATTTGGATCAACTGGTTGATGATGTCTTTGCATTAATTCAACTAAAATTGGTACAAGTACTTCTCCAAATTGATGGAAAATTGCTACAAACAAACATTCGGTACAAGGCTGAAAAATTAATTATAAAATAAATTAAAATATAATAATATTATATTATAATAAAATTTATAAATATATATTATTTATAAATATTTATAAATAGTAGAATATGAAATATTCACCCTTAAACTATATTTCCATGATTCACCACCATCATCAACAACTGAAATAATAATGTAATCAAAAAATGTAAAAGAATATAAATATTTTGTATATAATATAATATGAAATAATTGTAATATAATTGTATAAATGTGATATACATATCTTATTATATATATATATATATATATATATATAATATTACTAATTNTG